GGCAACAGAAGCGCGTAAACTAAGACAAATAGAAGCCGCAAATTTCGAGAAAAGCACAGCTCTAACTGGTTTCAGCTGTCGAGCTATTATGGGTGCGAGGACCTTCTGGCTTGAATTTGGATCCAACAGGCAGACAAGTAGAAAATGCAGCTGACTTAGAATACCGAAGAGAGTTTTCCAGGGTAATAACTCGGAGGTGGCGTACGGTGCACATTCTATTCTAGGGCGTGGAACAATCCATAGAGGCAGGAAGGGTTCGAATATCGAAGGTGGCCGGTGTCTTGTGGCAAGAGTTAAGAATAAGGACTCGGAATGGGCCTGTTGAACCGAAATAGGATGAAGGAATCGGACGTGGTATATGGTGCACGACCCTAAATTCTGCCGTGCTTTTAAGGGTGGAATGGGGTTCGATTCCCCGCGTCCGAATAGTCTGCAACAGTCGGATTTTTTTCTCTATCTAAAATCTATCCTACGAAAGCTGGGGTGTTTTCAAGGGAATTACTCCGACGTGTTGTACGGTGCACGGCTTTGAATTATAAAGCAGAGAATGAGGACATTTTAAGGGCAGGAGGGGCTCGATTCCCCGCGTTTGATTCATCCTTGAGAAATCGATTTGTTTCTGTCCTTCCACTAAATCAATCCGATAAAAGCTAGGATGTCCACAGAGGAGTAACTCGGACGTAGCGTTACGGTGACATGTATGGTGCATGGCCCTTATATTTAAACGAGTGAAACATGCTCTTAGGGGAGGAGGGGTTCGACTCCCCGCGTTCGAATGAAGGCGAATCAGTGTTTTGTCCTCCCTGATGGGTTCAGCGCGAGTGGGCTCAAAGTTGCTTCATTGAAGCAAGGCGAGAGTGAGATGAAGGAATCGGATGTGATGTATGGTGCCCGGCCTTGCGTGGTATTTGAAGTCTTCACCTTCAAAGGCAGGATGGGGTTCGATTCCTCACGTTCGAATAGCTTGCAAATCATCAATTTTTTGCATCCAACCCCTGGTAAATTCATCCCATAAAAATGGCATTTAGAAGAGAATAACTCGGACGTGGTGTACGGTGCACCGCCCTGGACTCTAACTCAGTGGCTGTGAAAGTTGATCAAGGCAGGACAGGGTTCGACTCCCCGCGTTCGACTGGCTGCCGAGTCTTCAATTTTTTTGCATCCAACCCTACTCAATCTATCCCATAAATGGAGGGCTATTTACAGAGCAAGTAATCGGACGTGGTGTACGGTGCACTGTCCTAAATTCTGGCGGATTGATGGAAGGTTTTCATAGGCCCGGTGCCGGACGAGGTTCGACTCCCCGTGTTCGAATGCCGTTTTCCGTTAGAACTTTTTTATCTGACCCCGTAAATCTATCCTACAAAAGCGAGGGTGGTTACAGAGCTCGGAATCGGACGTGGTGTATGGTGCACGGCCGTGAACTCTAACTCAGTGGCTGCGAAAGTTGATCAAGGCAGGACGGGGTTCGATTCCCCGTGTTCGAATGAGTCTTCCATACGGCACTTTTTTGCCAACCCTGCTGGGTTCACCGCGATTGGGCTTAAAATTGCTTCATTAAACCAAGGTTGAAATAGGATGAAGTAATCGGATGTGGTGTATGGTGCACGGCCTGAATTGTGTGTGGCCAAACACAATACATTTGTCAGGGCAGGACGAGGTTCGACTCGCCGCGTCCGAATGGTTTCTGAGAGTTGAACTGTTTTCCCCACCAACATCACGAATCAATGCTATAAAAGCTGGGGTGTTCACAGAGTAAGGAATCAAACGTGGTGCACGGCGCACGGCCCTAAATTCTGCCGTGTTGGACTCGAGTTTATAGTACAGGACGGGGTTCGACACCCCGCGTTCGACTGGAGTCTCCCGCTCGCTTTTTTTTTGTCTTCTGGAGTTGATGGGCTCAGCGTGAGTGGGCTCCAAATTGGTTCATTGAACCAAGGTCGAAATAGAATGAAGGAGTCGGACGTGGAATACGGTGCACGGCCCTGAATTCTATGGCGCGGAAATACTCCATAGAGGTTCGAAAGCAAACATGGAGTCTCGGGGTCCTCCGATTTCTTCTTTAAAATGGGGAATCCAGGACTGGATTGCCCATTAGAGTCATCCAACTTCGAGCTTAACCCACAAAGGGACGAGCTAGGACGTGTTGCTAGGAGAGACTTTCGCAATTGTGTATAAGCGAGCTAAATCTCTTTCAGTACATAGCTATAGGTTCAACATTAGTATAGATAAGTATAGATGTGACACATCTATAGAAACAACTGGAGCAAACTTGGAACATTAGTCACAACACAAGCGGGTGGGAATACACACCTCCTGCATTACTCCAAAAAATCGGTGCCGATAGCGGCGACCTTCATAGCTTCTAATTCTGCCCATGGGGGCAAACCATATATTTCCGGAAGCTGGTCCCAGAACGCTTGTCGCGCATCCCCGTGGGTTCTCTTCAGCAAGACGAGGCAAGTGGGGCACACATCTGCCAGTATGTTCCAGTCCACTGGCGTCCAGATATCGAGGGGAATACAAGAATCATCATCTGCGATGTCCCAGGTACCCGCGAAGGCTTGGAATCGTGCTTCAACACATCGTGCCCGGGTCATGCAACCCTGGATATCGGCGGGATGGAATAAAAACCGCAAAATATCCGTGGTCGTGCTATTCCTTTGGATATGATACCCGTGGAGAAATGCCTGTTGATCTTCGAGGGACAGGCTGGCTCGAGCGCCATTATGAACTGTTCCGTGGAAAATGGACATGCCAAGAGACTTGAATGCGGCAGACATGGAATAAAATGCGTACGGCAGGATCCAGAGGGCGTTGACCTCTCGAGAAAGGCCAATGGCCGAGATGCAGTAAGCCGTGGAGCCAGGGTCATTCCATGATACGTCGTTCAGCGTAGGGACGTCCTTAGCCACCCTCGCATCTGCGGCTGAGAGCGTTGTATAATATCCTGATGATAGGTGAATGAGAGCACGGCGTTGAAGATATTCGACTCCGTATTTGTGGCTTAGACGGAGACAACCAGTGATTGTGTCGAAATCGGTTCGGACTGGATACGGCATGAAGAATCTACGAGATTGAAGTTGAAGGAGGGAATGAAAGGATCAATACGGCGCTCACGAGGAGTCGTAGATGGCTCGGAGAAACACATTGACATCCGATGCGGCGTCGTGGAGGTGTACGAGGGGACAGCCTTCAACAAGCTCGGCATCTGGTGGCTGCGGGAATGAAAGCATGTCGTGGAATACTGGGGAACGTGCTGCCAATACGCCACGGTACACACGGAACTGGCTAGTTCCGGCCTGGATGATGAGATTTCCGTCCTCGAACCACAGTTCCTGTACACGGCGGATTTGGCTCGGCTCGGTGTCGTCCATGAATGTTGACGGCAGAAGAAGGAGAATTGAAACTCCGACAAACGCGTACATAGACGGCAACAGAAACGCATAAACTAAGACAAATAGAAGCCGTGAATTTCGAGAAAAGCACGGATCTAGGTAGTTTTCAGTTCTCGAGCGACGCCTCTGTGTGAGGGACGTCAGGTTTTAATTCAGGTAGGTAAGTAGAAAGTGCAGCTGACTTAGAATACCGAATAGTTGCTGGCAGTGGTGTTGGTTTTTTTTTTTTTTTTTCCGCCTGTCCAAATGCAGGATAAAACTACTTAGAATGCTTATAGAGTAAGGAGTCCAACGTGGTATACGGTGCACGGCCCTGAACTCTAAAGGCCGAGAATATTGCTGTCAAGGGCAGGAGGGGTTCGAATTCCGCGTTCGAATCTGTGCATTGCTTCCAATTTTTCGTCCTCCCAGATGGGTTGATTCAGCGCGACAGGATGCGAAATTGGTCTGTTAAACCACGGTTGAAATAGAATGAATAACTCGGACGTGGTGTACGGTGCACGGTCCTGAATATTTGGATAGAAATGTGTCATTCCTTGGGCAGGAGGGGTTCGACTCCCCGGCCCTGAATTCTACCTGGTCATGCGGCGTACATTTGTCAGGGAAGGATGGGGTTCGACTCCCCGCATTCAATGAAATCTTCTAGATGCTTTTTTTCTGTCCTTCTACTTGATCAATCCTATAAAAGCCAGCACGTTTACAGAGAAATAACTCGGATGTGGTGTACGGTGCACGGCCCTAAATTCTACTGGGATAGATTGATTGCGTGGAGGGCAGGAGGGGTTCAATTCCCCGCGTCCGAATACGCGGCATGTTTGTCGTTTGTGATCTTTATGGCATGAGTTGACGAGAAGGACTCCAAATCGTCCTGGTAAAGCCGGGTCGAAATAGGATGAAAGCGTCGAATGTGGCGTATGGTGCATAGTCCTGAATATTTCGAGGTTGGGAAGAATATTCTTAGAGCAGGACGGGGCTCGATTCACTGCGTTCGAATACTTGCTGAAGCTTCTTTTTGTCCAAATCTGCGAAATCCATCGTATAAAAGCCAGCAAGGAAACAGAGAAATAGATCGGACGTGGTGTACGGTGCATGGCCCTGGGCTCTGAATATTTGGGTGTTTACATAAAGGGCAGGACGGGGTTCGACTCCCCGCGTTGGACTGGCTGCCCAGTCTTCAATTTTTTTTTACATCCAACCCCTGGTAAATCCATCCCATAAGGAGGGCTATTTACAGAGCAAGTAATCGGACGTGGTGTACGGTGCACTGCCCTGAATTCTACTAGGTCGCGAAACTTTGAGCAAGGGCAGGACGGGGTTCGACTCCCCGTGTTCGAATGGAGTCTCCTGTTCGCTTTTTTTTTGTCTTCCCTGATGGGTTGAGCACGATTACACTCAGAATTAGCCTCTTAAGCCAAAGTCGAAAGGGAATGAAAGCATCAGACGTGGTGTAAGGTGCACGACCCTGAACATTAAACACGTGAAACATGTTCTTAGGGCAGGAGGGGATCGACTCCCCACGTCCGAATAGTCTGTGACAGTTGAATTTTGTTTGATCCCGCTAAATCCATCCTATAAAAGCTGCTGTGCATACAAGGGAACGACTCGAGCGTGGTGTATGATGCACAGCCCTTAATTGTAAACACTCGTGACTGTTGTGAAGGGCAGGACGGGGTTCGATTCCCCGCGTTCGAATGGTCCAGACGTGTTTGATTTTTTTTTCTCCTTCCACTTAATCAGTCCCACAAAGCCCAGAGCGTTTACAGGTGAGTAACTCGGATGTGGTGTATGATGCACGGCCCTGAATATTTGGATAGTAATGTGACAATCCTTGGGCAGAACGGGGTTCGACTCCCCGCGTTCGAATAGTCTGCGACAGTTTTGATTTTTTCTCTCCTTCCACTTAATCAGTCCCATAAAGCCCAGCGCGCTTACAGGTGAATAACTCGGATGTGGTGTACGGTGCACGGCCCTGAATATTTGGATAGTAATGTGACATTCCTTGGGCAGAACGGGGTTCGACTCCCCGCGTTCGAATAATTGTTGGTAGTGGAACTGTTTTTTCGCCCAACCACACTAAATCCATCCTATAACAGCCAGGGCGTGTTACAGTGGAATAAATCGGACGTGGTGTGCGGCACTTTTTTGTCAACCTGCTGGGCTCAGCACGACTGGAGTTAGAATTGGGCTGGTAAACCAAGGTCGGAATAGGATGAATGAATCAAACGTGGTGTACGGTGCATGATCTTGAACTCTGAGCGGGTTGAGTATGCATAGTACACAGAAAATCTTCCAGGGCAGGACGGGATTCGATTCCCCGTGTTCGAATAGCTGGTGTCGGATCTTTTTTTTTCTGACCCAATTACACCGAATCAATGGTATAAAATCTGGGGCGTTGGGTATGGAATAGATCGGACGTGATGTACGGCGCATAGCCCCAATCATGGTTCTGCTTGCTATGTACTACAACTGGGGGCAGGACGGGGTTCCTCGCGTTCGAATAGTCGCGGCATCGTCGCCTTTTTCTATCCTTCCACTAAATCCATCCGATAAAAGCTCGGGGGTGTACAGGGGAATAATCGGACGTGGTGTACGGTGCACAGCACCGGACTATGGTAAAGGGAAGGGTTACATAAAGAGCAGGAGGGGTTCGACTCCCCGTGTCCGAATTGTGTTCATCTGTCAAACACTTTTTTTCTGACCCCGCTAAATCAATCCTATACAAGGTACGGTGTTTACAGGTGGATAACTCGGACGTGGTGTATGGTGCACGGCTCTGAATATTAGGAAGACCCTCCAGTATGTTCTGAAGGCACGACGGGGTTCAATTCCCTGTGTTCGAATGAAGTCTTCAGTCAGACATGTTGAATTTTCTCTCTCTTCCACTGAGTCCATCCTTCAACATCAAGACTGTTTACAGGTGAATAAATCGAATGTGGTGTACGATGCATAGCCCTGAATAATGTGGGGGCTAGAAAAAAAATTGACAGGGCACGACGGGGTTTGATTCCCCGCATTCGAATATGTCTTGTATCAAGCCCTTTTAGTCTGACCCCATGACCCCGCTAAATCCATCTTACCAAGACCAGGGCGCTTACAGAGCTGGGAATCGGACGTGGTGTACGTCGCACGGCCGTGAATTATGCTGCATGGGTGACGATATTTCATAGGCAGGACGGGGTTCGACTCCCCGCGTTCGAATATTGCCTTAATCTTACCGCTTTTTTTACGCAGCACCCTGAAGTTGAGTATGTTGCACCGCCCTCGATATTTGGAACGCATGGAATGTTCTCCATCAATTCCTCGCGTCCGAATAGTTGGTGTCGGATCTTTTTTCCCGCCCAATTACACCGAATCAATGCTATAAAAGCTGGGGTGTGTACACATGAATAACTCGGACGTGGTGTACGGTGCGCGGCCCTGAATTCTATCCGATCACAGCGCAATCCATAGAGGGCAGGCGGGGTTCGATTCCCCACGTTCGAATGAGCCTTCCACTGGCTTTCTTTTTTTGAATCCTGCTAAATCCAGCCTATAAAAGCTATGACGGTTAGAGGGCAATAACTCGGATGTGGTGTAATGGTGCACGGCCCTGGATCATTCAGTACAAGCCAAGCAGCTCTTGGGGCACGGACGGGGTTCGAATGGTCCAGACGTGTTTGATTTTTTCTGTCCTTCCACTAAATCCATCCTATAAAAGCTAGCACGTTTACAGAGAAATCGGACGTGGTGTACGGTGCATAGCCCTGAATCATGTGGGGGTCTCGAAAAAAAATTGACAGGGCACGACGGGGTTCGACTCCCCGTGTTCGAATATATTCTTCCTTCAGACACTTTTTTGTCTGACCCCGTAAATCCATCATATAACAGCTGGGGCGTGTACAGGTGAATGGATCGGACGTGGTGTATGGTGCACGGCCCTACATATTATAGCGGCACAATCATCTCTTAGGACAGAACGGGTTCGATTCCCCGCGTCCGAAGAAAGATCTTCATACATTTTTTGTCGAACCCTGCTAAATCCATCCTACGAGGGCCAGGGTGTTTACAGGTGAATAACTCGGACGTGGTGTATGGTGCATGGCCCTAGACTCTGGTGAATTATTTGGGTGTTTACATAAAGGGCGGGACGGGGTTCGATTCCCCGCGTTCGAATAAGTCTTCCTTCAGACACTTTTTTGTCTGACCCCGTAAATCCATCCTATAAAGCTGGGGCGTGTACAAAGCAAGGAATCGGACGTGGTGTATGGTGCATAGCCCTGAATAATGTTGGGGATGGAAATCATTTGACAGGGCACGACGGGGTTCGATTCCCCGCATTCGCATGGGGTTTTCAGTCAGACATTTTTTGTTGAACCCTGATACATCAATCGTATAAAAGCTGTGGTGGGTACAGAGCTAGGAATCGGATGTAGTGTACGGTGCATAGCCCTGAATCATATGTGGGGGTCTCGAAAAAATTTGACAGGGCACGACGGGGTTCAATTCCCCGTGTTCGAATGGAGTCTCCAGCTCGCTTTTTTTTGTCTTCCCTGATGGGTTGAGCACGATTAGACTCAGAATTAGCCTCTTAAACCAAAGTCGACAGGGAATGAAAGCATCGGATGTGGTGTACGGTGCACGGCCCTTAATATGTGCGTAGGAATCATGAAACATGTTCTTAGGGTAGAACGGGGTTCGACTCCCCGCATCCGAATAGTCTGCGACAGTTTGATTTTTTCTCTCCTTCCACTTAATCAGTCCCATAAAGCCCAGCGTGTTTACAGAGGAATATATCGGACGTGGTTTATGGTGCACGACCTTGAACTCTGGTCAGGTTCAGTGCAGATTTTCATAGGGCAGGAGGGGTTCGACTCCCCGCCTCCGAATTCAAAAGGTTGCTGCAGTTTTTTTTTTTATCTGACCACGCTGAATCCAGCCTATAAAGCCCAGCGTGTTTACAGGTGAATAACTCGGACGTGGTGTACGGTGCGCAGCCCTGAATCATATGTGGGGGTCTCGAAAAAATTTGACAGGGCACGACGGGGTTCGATTCCCCGCATTCGAATAGTTGGTGTCGGATCTTTTTTTTTTTCCCCACCCAACTACAAGGAATCAATGCTATAAAATCCTGCGCGTTTACAGGGGAATGACTCGGACATGGTGTATGGTGCACGGCCCTGAATTGTGTGAGGTCATCCGTGATACATTTGTTAGGGGCAGGACGGGGTTCGACTCCCTGTGTCCGAATCCGAAAAGTTGCTGCTTTAAATCTGACCGCGCTAAATCCATCCTATAAAAGCTAGCACGTTTACAGAGAAATAACTCGGACGTGGTGTACGGTGCACGGCCCTGAATATGTGGGTAGGAATCATGAAACATGTTCTTAGGGTAGAACGGGGTTCGATTCCCTGCGTTCGAATGATCCAGACGTGTTTGCTTTTTTCTCTCCTTCCACTCAATCCATTCTATAAAAGGTATGGTGTTCAGGAGGTAATTACTCGGACGTGGTGTACGGTGCACGGCCCTGAATTATGCGGGGTCAAACACAAAAACATTTGACAGGGCACGACGGGGTTCAATTCCCCGTGTCCGAATTCAAAAAGTTGTTGGAGAATTCTTTTGTGGCCACCAGCTAAATCCATCCTATAAAAGCTATGGCGGTTAGAGGGGAATAACTCGGATGTGGTGCATGGTGCACGGCCCTGAATTGTGTGAGGTCATCCGTGATACATTTGTTAGGGGCAGGACGGGGTTCGACTCCCTGTGTCCGAATCCGAAAAGTTGCTGCTTTAAATCTGACCGCGCTAAATCCAGCCTACAAAGCCAGCACGTTTACAGGTGAGTAACTCGGACGTGGTGTATGGTGCATGGCCCTAGACTCTGGTGAACTATTTGAGTGTTTACATAAAGGGCAGGAGGATGGGGTTCGACTCCCCGCGTCCGAATAGTCCGTGACAGTTTGATTTTTTCCCTCCTTCTACTAAATCCATCCTATAAAAGCTAGGGCATGCACAAAGCAAGGAATCGGACGTGGTGTACGGTGCACAGCCCTGAATATTTGGTGCTGGTGAAGCTTGCTCATAGGGCAGGAGGGGTTCGACTCTGAATCCCCGCCTCCGAATTCAAAAGGTTGCTGCAGTTTTTTTTGTGGCCACCAGCTAAGTCTATCCTATAAATGCCGGGGCATGTACAGAGCTAGGAATCGGACGTGGTGTACTGTGCACGGCCCTGAACATTAAACACGTGAAGCATGTTCTTAGGGCTGGATGGGGTTCGACTCCCCGCGTTCGAATGGGGGTTTTCAGTCAGACATTTTTGTCTGACCCCGTAAATCCATCCTACGAAAGCCAGGGTGTTTACAGGTGAATAACTCGGACGTGGTGTACAGTGCATAGCCCTCGATATTTAAGCGCATGCATCATGTTCTCTGGGCAGGACGGGGTTCGATTCCCCACGTTCGAATAATTCTTGACGATGTGATTTTTTTCTGACCCCGCTAAATCCATCCTATAAAAGCTATGGCGGTTATAGAGGAATAACTTGAACGTGGTGTACGGTGCACGGCCCTGAATATGTGGGTAGGAATCATGAAACATGTTCTTAGGGTAGAACAGGGTTCGATTCCCCGCCTCCGAATTCAAAAGGTTGCTGCAGTTTTTTTTTTATCTGACCCTGCTAAATCCATCCTATAAATGGAGGGCTGTTTACAGGTAAATAACTCGGACGTGGTGTACGGTGCATAGCCCTGAATTGTGTAAGGCCATGCATGATACATTTGTTAGGGGCAGGACGGGGTTCGACTCCCCGCGTTCGAATTGTTCATGATTCTTCAACTTTTTGCATCCAACCCCTCGTACATCAATCGGATAAAAGCCAGCACGTTTACAGGCGAATAACTCGGACGTGGTGTACGGTGCACGGCCCTGAATTATGTTGAGTCGAACATCAGGACATTTGACAGGGCACGACGGGGTTCGATTCCCCACATCCTCCTCCTGCATAACCCGTCTTCCAAGTCTAATCGTGAGACGTCTACGTATCATTGATATATGTAGGCTATCACAGCGAGCGGGCCGTTGACGTCTGTAGCGTACATTAGGGCACTGTGTACGTAGGTACAGTACCTGCTTGTTCCTTATAGGGACCTCCGCAGTAATACTATCCTCCTCCTCCTCCTCCTCCGTGTCCGAATTCGAATAGTTGTTGTGATCTTTTTTTTTTTTGTGGCCACCAGCTAAATCCATCCTATAAAAGCTGGGGCATGTACAGAGCTAGGAATCGGACGTGGTGTACGGTGCACGGCCCTGAATATGTGGGTAGGAATTCATGCATCATGTTCTTTGGGCAGGACGGGGTTCGACTCCCCGCGTTTGAATGGGGGTTTTCAGTCAGACATTTTTTTCTGACCCCGCTAAATCCATCCTATAAAAGCTACGGTGTGTACAGGTGAATAACTCGGACGTGGTGTACGGTGCACGGCCCTAAATTCTAGGTGCATAGGATTTGATCAAGGGTAGGACGGTGTTCGACTCCCCGCATCCGAATGGTCCAGACGTGTTTGATTTTTCTCTCCTTCCACTAAATCAATCCTATAAAAGCTAGGGCGTGTACAAAGCAAGGAATCGGACGTGGTGTACGGTGCACGGCCCTGAATTCTATCAGGTAACAGCGTAATCCATAGAGGGTAGGAGGGGTTCGATTCCCCGCGTTCGAATAATCTGCGAGACTTGGCTTTTCTTTTTATTCGAACCCTGCCACATCCATCGTATAAAAGCTGTGGTGTGTACAGGGGAATGACTCGGACGTGGTGTACGGTGCACGGCCCTGAGATCTGGGCTTTAAGAAGCAGGTTTTCATAGGGCAGGACGGGGTTCGACTCCTCGCGTCCGAATGGAGTCTCCTGTTCGCTTTTTTTTTTTGTCTTCCCTGATGGGTTGAGCATGACTAGACTTAGAATTAGCCTCTTAAACCAAAGTCGAAAGGGAATGAAAGCATCAGACGTGGTGTAAGGTGCACGGCCCTGAACATTAAACACGTGAAACATGTTCTTAGGGCAGGAGGGGATCGACTCCCCGCGTCCGAATAGTCTGTGACAATTGTTTTGTTTGATCCCGCTAAATCCATCCTATAAAAGCTTGTGTGCGTACAAGGGAACGACTCGAACGTGGTGTATGATGCACAGGCCTTAATTGCAAACGCTCGTGACTGTTGTGAAGGGCAGGACGGGGTTCGACTCCCCGCCTCCGAATATAAAAGGTTGCTGCAGTTTTTTTTTATCTGACCACGCTAAATCCAGCCTATGAAAGCTAGGGCATGTACAGGGAAATACTTCGGACGCGGTGTACGGTGCACGGCCCTGAATATGTGGGTAGGAATCATGAAACATGTTCTTAGGGTAGAACGGGGTTCGATTCCCCGCGTTCGAATAGTCTGCGACAGTTTGATTTTTTCTCTCCTTCCACTTAATCAGTCCCACAAAGCCCAGCACGTTTACAGGTGAGTAACTCGAATGTGGTGTATGGTGCACGGCCCTGAATATTGCGGTGCTGGGTAAAGATATTCTTAGGGCAGGACGGGGTTCGACTCCCTGCGTCCGAATAGATGATAAATCTTACTCCTTTTTTTACACTGCACCCTGAAGTTGAGTATGTTGCACCGCCCTCGATATTTGGAACGCATGGAATGTTCTTCATCAATTCCTCGTGTCCGAATAGCTGGTGTCGGCTCTTTTTTTTTCCCGCCGAATTACACCGAATCAATGCTATAAAAGCCAGCGCGTTTACAGGAGAGTAACTCGGACGTGGTGTACGGTGCACAGCCCTGAATTGTGTAAGGCCATGCATGGTACATTTGTTAGGGGCAGGACGGGGTTCGACTCCCCGCGTTCGAATTGTTCATGATTCTTCAACTTTTTGCATCCAACCCCTCGTACATCAATCGGATAAAAGCCAGCACGTTTACAGGTGAATAACTCGGACGTGGTGTATGGTGCACAGCCCTGAATTCTCAAAGGTCACGGTGCAATCCATAGAGGGCAGGAGGGGTTTGAGTCCCCGTGTTCGAATATAGTCTTCCTTCAGACACTTTTTTGTCTGACCCCGTAAATCCGTCCTATAAAAGCTACGGTGTTTACAGGTGAATAACTCGGACGTGGTGTACGGTGCATGGCCCTACATATTACAGAGGCAAGATCGATTCTTAGGGCAGGAGGGGTTCGATTCCCCGGGTTCGAATGATTTCTGCGAGACTTTGCTTTTTCTTTTTATTCGAACCCTGGTAAACCAATCGGATAAAAGCCAGCACGTTTACAGGTGAATAACTCGGACGTGGTGTACGGCGCATGGCCCTAAATTCTATTGTGATAGTTTGGCTGAGTGGAGGGCAGGACGGGGTTCGACTCCCCGTGTCCGAATAATTCCGCTTTATCGCGTTTTTTTTGCACTGCACCATAAATAAATAATTCACCCCCACCACTGCGCAGCCCTGACCACCCGCCGCAAATAGACCTCTATTCTGGCAACGCATTTCAACTCCGCGCAAAGTCCGACGGCGACCCATCACCGGTGCACGTGGCCCATTCACCCGGGTCTTCTGCTCCACTCCAACTCTGACGACGATCCCCTGCACGATTCCGAAATCAATCCCCACTCTCCTTCCCACCACCATATCTAACGCACGACGTAAAGTAAAGAAGATAAAGTAAAGCACAGAAGATGTCCCTGCGTGAGTCCTTCATTTCGCCCCCTGTCTCCGCCCGCTATCTCCGGCCGACTCGTTCCGTGGGCGCTATTTTTTCCGTGCGTGCCACTGCGTGCCGTGCGTCGACTCGAGGCGTATACGTCGACGGCTTGCTTTTTCTTTTTTCTTTGTCGTGTGCATACCACACCGTAACGAGCTCGGATGTCCTCGCTGAGCGCCCCTGCCGCCGGCAGCGCCTCCGCCTCCGACTCTGGTGGATTTCCCCTCCTCCTATGCTTACTCTGTATCGCTTGTGCTGACTATTCCCTTCTTTTTTATTTTATCTGCAGCGATCAGTCTACCGGACGTCTCATCTATCCTCGACCCCGGCTCGACGTCCGCCAGCGCAAGCCCGAGCCCGAGCGCACCGCCGCCGCCGAGCGACAGCGCCAGCGCCAGCGCAAGTCCAAGCGGCGGCGGCGGCGGAAGCGCCAGTGCGAGCGACACGGGGGGCGCGAGCACGAGTGCGAGCGTGCCGCCGACGACCAGCGCGACGCCGACTACGCTCG